GACCCAAATCCTGACTCTGGGATGGGAAAAGCTCCGGAATGGACCCAAATCCTGACTCTGGGGTGGGAAAAGCTCTGGAATGGACCCAAATCCTGACTCTGGGGTGGGAAAAGCTCCGGAATGGACCCAAATCCTGACTCTGGGATGGGAAAAGCTCCGGAATGGACCCAAATCCTGACTCTGGGATGGGAAAAGCTCCGGAATGGACCCAAATCCTGACTCTGGGCCCCTGGTTCCCGCAGGGCTCCGGGCGGCCGTGACCCTGCTGGAGTCCGGGGGGGACCTCCAGCCCCCCGGCAGGTCCCTGACGTTGCTCTGCCGAGGATCCGGGTTGGATTTTGGGAGTTTTGGGATGAACTGGATCCGACAGAGACCCGGGCAGGGGCTGGAATTTGTTGCGTTTATCAGCAGCGATGGTTGGACCACCGACTACGCCGATTCCGTCTGGGGCCGGTTCAGGATCTCGAGGGACAACGGGCAGAGCTCGGTGACGCTGGCCATGAACAGCCTCAGGGACGAGGATTCCGGATCCTATTTCTGTGCCAAAAATGCCTACAACAGTTGGGGCGTTGCTGCTGGGGTCGATTCTTCAGCCCCATCCCCATCCCTGTGTACCCACCTTCCCCAAACCCCAACCCCTGACCTTGTGTCCCAACCTTGAATTTGTTCTGCCCCAGATCTCCTCAATTTTCCCCCAAATCCCCAACTCTCAGCCCCGCATTTTCACCATTTTTTTGGAATTTTTGGGGCAAACCCTCAGGATTTGGTGCCCACAGCCGAATTTCGGGGCCAGAATTGTGGATTTGGGGCTGCCCCAGAGGGATTTTCCAGAGGGATTTTGGGGCGAAAAGCTGAGATTTGGGGGATGGTTCTGTGCGAACGCTCACAGGGCGAGGGAGAGGCCGAGATTTGGGGGAAATGGTGAAAATTGGGGGAAAGGTTGAGACTTGGGTCAACAGGGGTGGAGATTGGGGGGAAATGGTGAAATTTTGAGGGCAAAGACCCCATGGGGACAGGTGGGGACAATACTGGCATCGTTCCCAATACGAGCAGGACCAGCAGCACCGTAATCATTATTGTCACGTTTGGCGCAGAAATAAACGGCGGAATCCTCGTCCCTGAGGCTGCTCATGGCCAGCGTCACCGAGCTCTGCCCGTTGTCCCTCGAGATCCTGAACC